GAGAATGTTGAAGATGGAAGCATAAGCAAAGGACCTACTGATACTAAAATCCATCAGAAAATGAAAAATGAGTTAAGAAAGTTTGTGACATTTTACCGAAACAACTTCTTAAATAAAGCTTATATATCAAAGTCCCTCAAAATTCTGGTAGATGGACTAAATTATATATTATAATTATACAATTAAATGTATCTCAACAGTGTATCAATACTGAGTAGTAGAAGGTGCTTTAAAATATGCCTTTCCTATCATGGTTTCCACCTAAACCACTGTGATAATGTGATTCTGCTGCCTCAACTCCATCATTCCCACTTGTATGTCACTTGCTCTTGTTGCTAAACACCTCTTGTTTTATCATTTGCAAGTCTTTTGCCAAGTCTTGTCAGTTTTCACTCTCTAGTTGAGCTTCTTTGTTTACTTACTTTAATCTCTGCAAACTTCTCTAAAAGCTGTTCCTGGCAGCACTAACAAGTGTTATACATGCAAATAAAAACCAAAGAAATAACAAGAAAAGGTTGTTTCAAAGTATCCTTCTCCTTGCTTTTTTTTCTGGAATTACTGTATCAGCTAACAATAAATCAAACTACAGTCTTAAGTTCTGGGCCATTCAGAAAATCACACACTATGACTGACCAAAATCAATTCCTCCCCAGCATTTCAGAGCTGTAGCATAGTACTTCTTAGCCCGTAAGTTTTGATCTCTAGACACTTGGGGGTACCTCACACCATAAACCAGTATTGTAATAATGCCCATCCCTTGAGGCAATTTCTGTAGGGAGGCTAGGACTTAAGTAAGAAAGAAGACTACACACAGTTAAATTATAGTAAATACAAGCCTGCACTCTGAAACTGCTAAGATCTTGCTCACTGAAGCATTTGCCCATCTCAGTCTTGAAAGAAGAAAACTCAAAAATCACAGGAATGAAACCATTTGCAAAAGCAAGCATGAAAATGTACACCATGGGTTCAAAACTTCCTAACCACAAATTCCTGAATATGATTAAAGATCAAAAAGGTGTTCTCCAGTACACTGGTTTAAAATCTCAAAACTAAAAACTATAATGTTCTATAAGCTATGAGATCAAATCTTCCTATTAAAGTTCCCACAGCAAGTTTTCCACAGGTCCCTCACATTAAATGGTGGTTTCACAGATTGAGATGGAGACAAAAAATGGGGGAAGATTTCTATTTGCAAAAACTGAGACATCAAATATAGCAGCCTGTAGTTTTGTTTTGATAAAACGTTGCATTATAACCTTACTATATAAATCTGTACTTTATCTTTTATCTTTATCCCTCATTTTTATATACATCTGGATTGATTTGTCTCTTATTATCTGACACTCTGAAAAAAAAAGAAACATTTTTATGTGGAGAATCACCTAAAAAATACATTTAGTACAGAAACATTCATAAATAAATAAATGCATTCCTTAATGTTTGTGAAACCAACCTTTTAAATTTTTTTTAGATGCCTCAAGTGTAAGCTTGTGAGAATGTATTTTTAAACTAAGAAAAGAAATTTCAAAAGAAGTCTTGGGCTTTGCTCATTCATCCAGATTTTTAGCACCAAATTCTAATCTCAAATGCACCAACAGAAGCCATTGTTTGCTTTTAAAGAAAGAAGTCATTACGTAATGCAGAACATTGATAAGTTAATGATTTGAGGCATTAGAATTGCTTTTAATAATTTGTTCTCTTCTCAGGAATTCATTTTACTGAAATCAGCACATTTCTGACAACTTAGAATATCAAAATGCAAGTCAGACAAATTGTATTCAGTCTCATTGAATTTCCTCTGCAAGTTAGTGTTCTCACATCTTTTGCTTACATACCATATTCTGTTTCTGGGTGCTACTAACAGATATCCTAGTCCTTCCTCTTTCTCAAGAGCAATTGCATCTCAGAAATAAAGAAAGGGGTTTCCATTTCATGTATTGCTAATAAAGCTTTTCAGACAGCTTAGTTGCTCTAACAGTTTTCTTGGTGTGTTCTATATAATTACTGTAATTAGAAGTAAAGGGAAGCACATTTTACTATAATGTAAGTCCAGAAGTACACAACAGCACAGTATGAGCACAGTAATTGTAGTATTTTTTCTTAGTGTGAAATAAGCCACAATCAATCCATAAAAGCCACAGTCAAGCCAATACAAAGGTCATAATTACCTGTTATTTTAATGTTACATGGAAGACCATATGGAAACCTTCCTACAGCTCCCACCTGACCATTCCAGTTGAATTCTTGTCCCAACTCAAATGGTTGTTCCATGAACTAAAATAATACAGAACAATTTAGCTTTACAGATGCATATTTACTTGCTGTTTAGTTTTATTCTCTATTATTACTGCATTCTTTATCTTGTTAGATACTGCTTGAGGTCTTATTTTTGAATTAATGTTTGATTTTTGATTGGAAGGATATAAACTCACATGTCTAACTGCATTTCTGTTTGAGATCAAACTTCCCCAAGCCCACCAGTTTCTGGCCTTAACAATCATCTGTAACTACAGACTAGGTGTGTAGAGAGCAGCACATGTGGTGTAACATTGATGTAACATCCCCAGAAGTGCCTGTCTGACACTGTATCTCTTATGTTTTGCCACCTGTAACTGTTGCAAGTAATTTTTCTGATAGTGTGTCCATTTTTATCTTCTGACTGTAAACAGATCTAGGCAGGAACCTATATACCACATGTTCTTATGTAGAGTACATGAATATTTATGACTTGTTACCCAAAACCAGCATGGATTGTATGAAAACTCTTTACTTCATTACCTGTTCCAAAATGGCCTTGAAGTTATAGAGTCTGACCAGACCCATGCTATACATTACAATCAGGATTCCATTAGAAACAGCAACATCTGTCACACTATTACCAAAAATCTGGAATAAAATTAAGCAAAAAATATTCTATTAGAGAAAAAATAATTGAGAGAAAACACAAATAACTGACATTATGTCCTTAATTTTTCAATCTTTTTTTTTTTTTATTCTGACTAAACTCTATGATCAGTGTTCAAGTTTTCTGTAACTCATCTGTTCTGCTGAATTTCTTTAATCCATTGCACTGCAGTAACACCTGAAGTTACAGTAGTCATACTCTGCAAGCAGATTCATGCTGTAATCAATTCTCAGTATATCTTCATTATCATGCCACCCAGTTATTATCATACATGAATAGATAATATTATTCATCATCCCACGTTAGCAAAACTTAGCAACTCTATCTAAAAGTCCTGATTTCAGATCTTCTGTTCATTCTTCATCCCCAGTGTAAAATACTAGTCTAATCACAACTCTATGACTGCATACAGCTGTATTAAAACTACATTATCCAGCTGTCACAGAGTACAGAGTTCTCTCTGAATCCAAATTAGATGTATACACGAGAAGTTGACTTATCTTTTTTAAAAATTATGCACTATTCATTTGTGTGTCTGCTTAATACATCACTGAGCTAACCCCACAAACTAATTCTTAATATTTAATTATTACCAACATGTGAAGTTGATAGGGGTTTTTTAATGGATATGCCTGAAAATGTAGTTTTCTTTAATCTGACTCACTATGTGAAAAAGCAATTAAACCAGTTAAAACAGGCCTAAAACCAATAAAAAGCTAAAGAAACCCAGAAACTGTAAGACCTCCATCTTATCACTACCAGTGCTACCACCGATTATGTGATCAGTTTGGTTCTGAAAGTTATACTCACTCCTGAGACTGTCTTTTATTTAGTTTTATGGCTTTTTCTCAATACATTTGCTAGCTTAGGTCTCAGTGTCTTTCAGACACAAACTGTAATAATCTTCCAAGCCTAAAGTCTCCTTTCTATCCTTGAGACCTCAGCCACTCTGAACTCAAATGTGTTGTGGTATCCCACCTCAATAAAGCTGAGGTGCATTCTGCAGCCTCAGGCAGTAACACTAACCCCAGCTCGAATCTAACATTTCATTCCACTGCTCTGTGTCAGGTCTGGCACTGCCTTCACTGCCTGCATCTCCTGCTGCGTGGATTCTCACACCCCAAATGCTGCCCTGCCTGTTACAATTGTATCAATTTCTCTGGTGAGCACTCAGCACAGACCCAGCTGAAGAAGTGCTCCTTCACATGTTCTGCCTGCTATGACCATGATGAATCTGGCATGCCATTCCTAACCAGATTGAGAACACCTTTGATAGTGGCAATGGTTTTTTCAGTCTTAAATACTAATTTTGAACAGAACAATACACAGTACTCTCAAGCTTTCATTAGCCCATATTAAAAAGTTGAAACCCCTGCGTTCACTTGCCAGGCCCAATTTCAATTACAACCTCAACCCAACCTAGCACCAGCTAAAACTCCAGCTCATAACTCTGGATCCTAAAAGACACCAAACCTACACAGACACAGTTTTCATGTTTGTACTGTTGCATCTGTAAGTTGTATCCAGAGCCTTCTTGACTTAAAATAGAACAGTAAAAATTACAATCTGGCTCAAAGTTCCTTCATAAATATATATACTTGCTTATAGGTCAGAAACTGAACTCAGGTTTGTTTGTTCTTGACTGATAAAGCAAGATCTATTTACTTTTGTCATTCAGTAACAGTGATAATAAAAGTGTGAAACATTTGTAATTGCATATAGAATTCATAGATTATTACTAGGACTGAGTCAGAGGCACATTATCTTTAAGGAGGTGAAAAGAAGTGTACAAACACTTCAGGGTTCCCTAATTCTTATAACTGCTCTAAGAAAAGGCTAAAGTCCTGCTGCATGTCAAAGAGTAACCCAGTAAGAGAATGCATTTGTATTTCTCTTCTGGTCCTTAGAATTAAGAATATTTGCTCCAACACCCCAATCAGACACAAGAACACTGCTGCTAATTAATGTTTCAATTGCTTTTACAAGCTTGTAAGTATGACTTCTGAAATAAGTGTCTAAACCAGAACTGTCATAGAACTACCTTACAGATTACATATTATCAGAGAAATTAACTTACCTTTTTGTTTATTTCCAGCATTCCAATGAATGAAAGAGGCAAAACTTGGAATACAGCAAGATAAAACAATACATTCTGTTGGATTCCTGCCTGGGAAGGAACAATACTGAACATAGTTATTAAAGGTAGGAGATCTTTATCTTCTTCCATAATAACCAAGTACAATGTCCCCATCTTTATGCTTGTAAATTTTTTTTGATCAATGTTGTAAAAATTACAACACTTACCTGCCGTGCTGCTGCAGGGAGCTTATTCTGAGCTGACTTTACAATCATTACCTCTTGAGGAGTATCCCAGCTCAGATACCTGTTTGTGACAAGAAAGGCCTGCCTTAACCACTTAAAACCCATTTATTAATGTATTATTTCACATAAAATATAATCAACTATAACTAAGCAGATGTATGTGCCCAGGGAAACTTGACTATTTGATTTGGAAGAAGGGCTGCTTGCAATAAAGCAGAAATCCATGGAACTAGGAATTACTTATTTCATACAGGATTGTGAGAAAAATTAGTGAATATTCACACTTTCCAATCTTAATTTTTCTCCTTTCCTTTATAATCACCACTTTCCTATCCTTCAGCCTAACGAAAATATTTTCTGAAAACCAAAAAAAAGAAGCAGCTTACCAGAAGCAGTAACTGCCCTGCTTTAAAAGAGAAATATGGCTACCCTATGGAAAAGAACCTTTGCAAATTAACAACAGCTCAGACTTCGAACATATTGTTTGTATGTTTGATCAGGTTTGTTTTTCAGCTCTTACAGTCCTCTGCTGGCATGTTACCATTGCAATACTAAAGGCTGTAAAGCTGACAGAGAAAAGCAAATAGTAGGCTAGGTTTTGTGGAACTTGATACTAAATTTAACAGCATAATACTAAAGTAGATGAAATTCTTCTACAAGCAAGAGCATGCAGGAAAAGCACTCCAGGTAATGGTTGAGATTAACAGCCTGTTGTCAGCCATAGGGTAGTACGAAAATAACATGATTCCCCTTCTCCTCTATAGCACTAATCACTGTTAATTATATTAAGCTCTCCTTCTCCACTATACTACTACTGACTGTTAATGGTATAAACCCTAGTTGTTAATACCTGAAGAATTTGCAACAGGAACCAGCAAGATACACTTTCTCCAGTACTTCTCCACTGTCAGCAGAGAGACGTAGAAGCCAGTTCTGCGCTGTCAGGACTATAAGAGAAGCTTTATAATCTGATGGACTTGGTAGCATTTCCCCCTACATTAAAAAAAGGCTATTAGAAATAAGGTTGTATCAGGAGGATACAAAACATTTTGACAGTTTGAAGAACATGAAAGTAAATACACATTCCTCAAAAACTGAAGGAGGCAATCTGCCTGTTAATCAGATCAGTATCTCTAAGTTCATGTCCATGTCAAATAATTACCTATGACATAAATAATCAGCTGTCACAATTTTGCAAGACAGTTACCTCTTCTAGAAGAGGCACCCTTTAAAAAATCTTTTCCTTGCAAAAGTTAACTGCTTATTGAGCTAATTGATACCAATCTTGAAGAGAAAATTGTTTAAGTATTTCAAAAGAAGACATTCAGTGATAACTCAACAGCAACTGCTACAAATGGTACTTACACTGCTTTAGTTTTAGGCACCTCAAAGATGGGGCTAATATTTCTAAGCTCTGTGGACACTGGGTGAAGGAGAGAAATGATGCAATTATCAGGTAGAAACAGTAGAAGAGTTTTTGGGCAGGGTCGTTTCAATGGGCCTCCAGTGTATCTGCTTTTTGGTTTTTTTAATGTCAATGGATCTGAAGAAAACTAAAACTCCCAGCTACTGTCCTTTTTATTTAAAAATAAATAAAAATATAAGTAGAATTTATTTTGTAAGGAATTAAGAATTAGTTGCATAAGAATAAAAGCACTGGTTTTAAAATCTTCCATGATAGCTTATGAAACAAGGATTTGAATGCACTACTGAGAAATTCAGAAGAGTATACCTCTAAATGTTCAGTTAATGTAAATAAGGCACATGTTGCAAACCTTTAATGACTGAACTCCTTTAAAACATTGAGAAAATAATTTGGAAAGAAAAAGCACTCCATTCTAAATGTTTCATCAAAATATATTAATTTAGTATTTTGCACAAAAATGTTCTAGTAAAAAGTAATCTTACCAATGGGCATTCCAATAATAAAGCATCTTCTATTTTTTCAGACTTGGCGGTACACTTTGCCTTTTGATAAATTAGTCTTGGCTGTTGTGCAATGCTAGAGGAAAATGATTGCTAATCATTAGTCTATTTTATAGACCACTTTTTATCAAAAAGTCATTTCATACAGTTTTATAGGTCAGAAAACATCTTATTTTTAACATCTTATTTTTACTTTGTAAACACAGCTGAAATTGCTCTCAAAATAAGGCCTAATAAACAATAGTTAATATAATGTAATATTTTAAAGCTAACCTTCTCTAAATCTTTTGGTCTAGTTGCTTTTTTTTTGTTTTTAGTTTCAGTTTTTACGTTTGGGTTGGTTTTTTTTAAGTAACAACCTTAATAGTAATGTTTTTGCTCTAGTGATATACATTAAGAAGAAAGCATATTTCAGAAACTAATGATCATCCTGGAACCTTCCCCTCAGGTTCTTCCAATGCTGCCTTTTACAACAAAGGTGCGGCATCGTGTCCAGATATTTAAAAAAAAAGCCTTTACTAATTAAAATTGATGCTGTGTTGATGCTGTTTGGGTTTTGCCATTTTTCCTTTTATATATTCACTGTATTCCTCACACAGATACTTGTAACTCTGTCACCTATTGTATTAGTAGCCAGTTTTCCCAGTACTTTTCCATGGCCTTTCCCTAGGCAGAAAGACAAAACAAATTCCAGAGCTCCAAGCTCTGGGAGGTACAAGGCCCCAGTGCTATCTTGCTTCTAGCTGGGAACCAAGGCTGAGAACAACAGCTGAGATCCATTCTCATGGACAAAGTACAACTAGTGCTGAAGGGGGGACTCCAGAGAAGGGGCTTGACCTGGGGGGTGGAATTACATCACCCCTTGTCCTCCTAACTGGGGCTTTTTATCAATTATGCTAATTTCCTAAGACCTATAAATGTGTACTTATCCCTGCAAGGGCTTTTGTGGACATCTTTCTATAACTGCCTCTGAAGGCCTTCATTAAAGAATACCTTCTTATTACCTCCTTACTAAGGAAGTATTACCTCCTTACTAAAATTATCTTGAGTTTCATTTCCAGGTTGGGAAAAACCTGGAAAATAAAAGCTTTGTACTGTGCACAGTTTTGCCCTCTGGGAGAGGATGAGACAAAGGAAAACGTGAAAGATCTTAGGTTAACCCAGTATTAAAAACATTGAGACTATGTAGGAATAAAAGCAGATTTAGATCTCAGCTGTGGATGACAGATTAAGTTAATTGACTCTTAGTGGTTTACCCTGACAGACTAGTTTGTATTTTATGTATCATATGACACTATCTCAAAACTGCTCTGTCCCCAACTTCCTCAGCATTGCAGTTCTTCAAGTCCATGCTACTTCCCTCACAGTAGGGACAGGCAAGGACAAGGGCTGGTGCACACAGATTTCCTGTCCTCTACCCTCCCGTGTGCTGCCTCGTAACCTGTCTCTGCAACTGATCATGGAACAGAATAATATATTAGATCAGAGAATTGATCTACAAAATACATTTGCAAAAATTAACATGTACTGCAGCCTGTACCTTTGCATGAAAAATAATTTACTTATTTTATACAGAATTCACATAGTACCAAGTTTGTTACATAGGCTGATTCTGTGACACACTCTTTAGTTGCCAGATTACAAAGAACTACTGTTCATTTGGCTTTTAGTGCAAAACTAGAAAATTGTGTTAATCTTCCATTCCTGCTCTGAAAGCTGAGGTTATACTGCACCTGAAAGATCAGGCTTTCTTTGACCAAAGTAGGTGTCACATTTAGATATATCAGCATCTAAATGTAATGCAAATATCATAAGCCAAAGATTTATCACCTGCTTATTTTTTGTTCCCAAGTAAACTCCATTTAATTCTCAGCAGCTATGAGTCAAGTTAGCAATATAACACAGAATCAGTCTCAAATCTGTAAGTCAGTACCTCATAATTGCAAATTTATTACCTGGTAATACAGCATTGGTAATTGTCCATGTAAATTCTTCCTCTTTCATACGCAATAGGAGACGCAGAATGAGTTGTCCAAACATTCTTGAATTTAGTACTTTCCTGAAACACAATAGTTTTAACATGGATGGCTATTTGTAACAAACTTTGCTTCTGAAAATATTTTCTTTGGCTCCTGCAACTTAGTAACTTATTTTAATTAAAACTTTACTGCTGAATACACGAGAAAGAATCTTACTTGGTTTTTATAAATGAAATTAACAGACCTTTTATAATAAAATTTTGTCTTTTTTAAAGACCAAATTAAAAAAAATTTAATGAGCTATTATGGACAGCAGCGGTAAGGAATATTTTGTCATTAGCTTGCCTGTATTAAAAGTGGCAACTAAACTTGCATAGTGACTTTTGAAATCAAGGACTAAACTCCCCAGAGTATAAATATGCAGAGAATTCTTTTATATGTAATTAATTTTATTTATTGAACACTTAATTCCATTCTGCTGGTGGTGTTTAGTGTGAAAGGCAGAAAAATGTATTTACCATTACTTGCAATAAGCACCCGGAACATTAAAGAAATAAACTGCTCACATTAAAGTTTCTTGCCTGCATTTGAGATATCAGAAGATCTATACCATTAACGAAGGTTCCAGTCTTGAAAAAAGAAGTGTAAGCCAGATGTAATTATTGTTATTTCAGTAAACATTGCATGCCTATTGTTCTAGTTACATAAGCAGACACTTCAGCTGACTTCCAATAAATGAATTTTCAATATAATTGCCAATTCACTTCCACATTCTTTTCTAATATATTTCTATCAACTGCTGCATGGAAGCAGAAATTGTTTTGACTAAAAAAAAAAAGTTCAGTTTGTAATTGGTTTAATTCCTGCTTTTTCTGTAACATCAGTTTCACTGAGAACTGGAGTTACGTTTACCTGAAAATCTCTGCCAATTATCTTATTATGTGAACTCCTTCCAAATTCAACATGAAGCACTAAGAATTTAAGATTAGTATTAAATATGAAGCCATCTTAGGGAAATAGGTGATAAAAATAAGCTTTTATGAGATTTTATAACACAATTATTAGATACAGAAGGGCCTTTGCAGTTCTTGCCCAGCACAATCCTTTCTACATTTCTAGGTCTGAGCCTTGTGAAATATTTTTAACCATTACTCTCTTCATCAGAGCTGCACCTTTTTTCTCCCCAGACCCGTTCTCCAGCGTGACCGGGGCCTCTCGAACACCTGGGCTGGGGACAGACGCTCACCCCTGGGCTGCAAGGCGAGCCCGCGGGCTGCAGCAGCGCCGAGCGGCCGCCTATTACCTGACACATGATCCTCCTCAGGAGTCCCAGGTTCTTCCTGTGGGCCACACCAGCATCTCTGGCGTAGAAGCCGTGGGCCCTGCGGCTGAGGAGGCGGCACACGTTGTGCACCCCGCACGCCCGGAGGGCGGCCCTGCCCCCGCCGGCGGCCGCCTGCGGGCATTTTCTCGGCCCGCGGGGCGGGATCGCCTTTCTCCCCCGCTCCAGGCTCGCTCTCGGCAGGGCGTGCAGCCTTGCAGGCCCAGGCCCGCGCCGGGTTTATCTCAAACCCCCGCCCTTGCCCGGCGAGAGGTAAAGCGAAGCGGGAAGAGGCCCGAACGGCCCCTCGCTGCTCGATTCACGAGCGAAGCGACCCGAGGCCTTCTACGGCGCTGCTCGCCCCGCGCTTCCCCGGCCGCCGCAGCTCCGGTTTCCGCAGACGCCGGGCGGGGACTGCCCTGCACCGCCTCTCCCGCGGCCCGCCGGGTACTGTAGTTTTTCCGGGAGAGGAATCGCGCGGCCCGCCCGGACTTCGCCTCCCGCCGCCGCTCCCGGGCGGGCCGCGTGGTGCCCGCGGGTGGCGGCCAAGCGGGGTCACCGTCCCGTACGGGAGCGCTGCGGCGTAGGCGCTGATAAGGCACCCCTCCGAGGAGCGGGCAGGAGCAGGCGCTGCGCAGGGCTCGGTGAGAATCGCGGGCAGCGGCCGCCGGCCGGGACCGCGCAGCCGCCCGCGCTCCACGAGCTCTGCCCCGGTCGCGCTCCCGCCCATCCTGCGCCGAGGGATGCGGACGCTCGACGCGCGGGGCGTGCAGATGGAAACATTTTACCTATTGTGTTTTCAGTTAAATCAGGAAAGTTTTGTTAGTGGTCGCTAGTTAAGGAGAAGTGGGGACTGGTATCTTCTTTTTTAAAAAATATTCCTGCTACAGAGCTCAACATTCGGGGTTGGGCGGGGGGCATTCCCGGGGATGCACGCCCGGCCTGGCACCTGCGATCTTTGGGCACCCGCCGTGAGCCTTTTTGGGTACGGCAGTGCGGGATTGAGTGTACCCGGACCTGGGGGAAAGGTTAAGGAATTGGTTGAAACCCGTTTAAAACTCCAAGGTCAACGGAAACTTCTTAAGATGTATGACGCTTCATTTTTGTATTTTTAGAGCTACGTCCCAAATGTTGTCGCAGTCATCAATCTCTACTTGCCAGCAGAGCAACTGAAGTCTGCGACAGACTCGTTTCTCTTCCTTGCCAGAGGCCAAGCGCCCAAATGGGGTAATCAAAAGTTGCTGATGTTTTTGTGTGCCCATATCTATTCTTCAGGATCTGAGTGGAACGTTGAATCTTCACTGATAGTGAAGGGAAGAGAGAGTCCTTTAAATTTCTGGTGCTTGGCAGTTATTGCTTGCAGGGAGCTAAACACAAACACAATGGTTGCAGTTGCTCCTTCAAAGAGCTGATTAGGGCAGTAAGTGGAGCATACAACAACAACAATAGATTTGCAACAGTGACTTCAGAGCTGGCAAGGCAGGTTGTAGCTCACCAAAGTACACATGGACATCCAGAGTCCTGCAAGAATGTAAATGGATGAGGTTATTGAATATAAATTGTAGACAGTAGTAAAATTCATGCTGCTCTATCCCAATTCTTATCGCCTTTAATAACAAACCCCATAGTTTGTGTTGAGACAAATTATCTTTTGTTAGGCAATACATTTAAATATTCAGTATTTTGTAGATAATATATTTAAAATAGTTTAAGTGATTGCATTTGGAGGTTTAGATGTATCTTGCAAGTAGGTGTATACACATGTAAAGTCTCAATACCTTTTTCTTTCCTTTTTCCTCTTTCCGTGTAAGTAGCAGCCAGCAGAGGGTGTGCAGGGTAACGAGGAGCCCTTTGATTATTCAAGGAAATGTTTCCAGTAAACCCGCAGGATTTATCTCCCCTTCTCTCTCATTGCATAAACTATTTCCTCTTTGCTCAACTATTTTTAACAGACTACCTCACTAGTGGAAGCTTGTGGAAGAACAGGCACTTCTCAGCACATGTATATGTGATTAAAGTCATATCTGGTGGTGGGGCAGGTTTGTTTATTTTTATCTGCTTTGCTTTTTAACTAATTTTAACTTTGATGTCTCTATAGTAATCAAAATAAATAAAAATAATTTTTCATTTGCTTTTCTTTTCGCTTGGGAGGCACTGCTCTGCAGCAGTTTTACTGAAGTTACTATATGCTCACAGGGAGGTCTGCATTGTTCCTGGTGCATGAGAAAGAAAAAGAGTTGAAATTTTTAGATCTGCTGAGTTTGAGAAGTTGTGAAATATCCTGTTGTTTCAAATGTGCATAAGTTTTTGGAAGTATATAATTGAAAAACTAATTATGAAGCCCCAAGAGGGCATGATTAGTCACTTGGTCAAGTAGAATAGGATTAAGCACTCAGTTAATGAGTGAGTCTGGTTGACAGTAAAGTCACCCCCACCAGATTAGAAATATTAAGAAATATTAATATGTATGTCTTTTAAAAATAGCCACTGGTAATTAATAGTTCTACCTTCTGTGTTACCATTTTCTTGAATTTTCTTTTCCTTCTGTCCCCGATTGCCACTTGCCCCTTGTTTAGTGTAAGGTATTTTGAGTTTTGGTAGTGTTTGATGGTGATAATACAGATTAGCAAGACTTTACAGAGGAGCATTGGGGATTAATGGTCAAATGTTGTCTAGATAAGCTTCTAGGTACCAAGCAGAAGTGAATTGTTTCCAGAATACTTTTCTGTCTAGGAATGTAACAAAGGCTGCACATGCTGTTCCTAATATAGGCTATTTTTGTCTTTATAACAAAGACTCTACAAGTAGTAGAGTAGCTTAGTTTATTCAGCATAAACAGAACAAGATGACTGGGGATAAAATCATTATATAGTCAACCTAGGAGAATTTGAGATGGAGGAAGTTGTTAGATTTGTAGTTGGAGATTGGTCAAATGGCAGAATATTCTCCTCCAATATGTTCATTAGATTAGGTTCTTGGACAAAAGTAGCAGGTTATTTCTGTTCTTTTTGTTTGGTTGGTCTTTTTTTTCCTCTGACATCTCTCTTAGAATAGATACTTTTAAAGAATTTTACTCATCAGTTAAGTGGTTTACAAATGTTTTGGGGTATAATTCACTGTTAAAAAAATCTTAGAGCGGTGCTTTTCTCCTATATCTAATTTTTCTTCTATAGCTGTGACTGCTCAGGGTTTTAATGGCAACATGAATTAATTTAATGCCAACTTCAGGTCTGGCTAGCAGTTGATGTGTGGGCATTCTTCTGCATGTTCACCTGCAAAAAACTGTATTGAAGATGCTGTGTTTGCTTGTTTCTGAACATTTCTCAGTTAAACTGAGGACCTGATCTGCTGGTTCTAACAATGACAAAGCTGTAAAGTTTAAAAGGCAGTGCTCCATGGGGAAACAAAGTTGCTCTTCAACATTGTTATAAAGTGCATTGTTTCTTTAAGGATTTTTTTTCTGAAAAATAGTTGTGCTGCTACGAAATTTAGTAATTTTTATTGTAATTCAGTTTTATGTTAATTTCCTTAAATTAAAAGTTTTGATGAAACTTTTAATGAAAGATGAAAGTTGAGTTCTTTGATTAATAATCAAACCTAAAATATTCCTGTCTGACTGTGAAAGGGAAAGAACTCCTAATTCTTTCAGGCAACATTTCTTACTGTCATAACTTCAGGATATGATCATCTTACCTGACAAGAAGAAAGAGTGTTTGTCTGTTTCATTAACAAACTTCAGTTAAACAATTGAGCAATGACTCCCTTCAGAAAATGGAATTTAGGCTTAAAAGTGATTTAATGTATTTTGAGCTTTTAGTAGCCATGTTGCCAACTAATCTCATGATCTGTGGATGACTTGTAACTCTCAGGGATGTCCATGAATGTCTCAAGGGAGTTCATTCACATTTAACATAGATTACAACAGGAAACTTCCTCACTTACCCCACTTGCCTTACATTTTCAGAATTTATCTGCTAAAATTGTTCAACTATCGCTCAAAGGCTCACTTTTTCATAGAAAGGCTTGCATATCTGGATTTTACTGATGTAAGACCATCCTAGTCATCTGACTGTAGTTCCCATCTGTGCATCTTTTCATGTTCTTATTGAGATATTTAGAAAGCCAAGAAAAATTACGTGACTAGCCTAGCAGCTGAATCATTGTATTTTATGGTGAATATCAATGCTGGCACAGGAAATGCAAGATACTAACTCAGGTTTTTTCAAATGATTGAGGGAGGAAGAGGATTTAAAAACAGTTTGCAGTGTAATAATGGAATCTTTATCCAAGCATTTCTGTAATTTAATAATAATAATTTTGGATTGTGGTTTTGGGGTTTTGGAGGACTTTCTCTTTATTTTTATTTTCAATAATTTTATTTTTAATTGCCTTTATGTAAATTACACATTTTGCAGAAATTGTCATGATGCCTTAGTTTTCATGTATAATAATTACTATTTCATTATATCCCATATATGTTAATAATTATGGATTATTTATTAAAAATGCATGCATATTTGCAAATAAAAACCATCAAAAAGTTGTAGTAATTGAAGTATAAATTGGAAGAGTTTTGGTTGCTGAGCCTCATTTCAAAAAAAAAGCAACCACAATAAACTCATTAACATTAAAAGAAGTTTTGATTTTTTTAAATAGGCCTAAATGTTACATTTTCACTGTATGGCAATGCTTCTGTGTCATGATAACATTAGAGTCTCAGCAGCCAAAATTAACAGTGGTTTTATTTGGCATTGTCAACCATAAGGCAAACTCCATTTTATTTAAACTTCGACAAATAAAAAGAAATTTTAATCTTTTTTCCTTTTTTTTTTCTGTAGGCTTAAAATGAATAAACAATGCCCTTTTTAAATAATGACTCATTCAAAAGTACATGATTAATGAGGAATTGTTAATTTAATTGAAGTGATTCCTTTGCCAGTCACTGTATTGATGTGTACAGATTAATAATTTTCAATTCACAGTACAGAACTTGTGATCAAATGCTACTATTTACCTCGAGATAGAAATCTTTGTTTTGCAACCAATTTGCACAGAATGTTTTCTAGTAGTGTCTTGTGCCTGTTCTCTTGTAACTGTGTTTTGGATTTCCAGTGCATTGAATATGTACATGTGGTTTTTATGGAAGCAGCACTGCAAAAAAAGAAGAGAAAAAAGGCGGGAAAAAATAGGACACTTAAAATAATTTTAAGGAAAAAAGGAACAAAAGCCCATCAGGGTAAAAGTATTAGGAGGGGTTTCATTTTACACATCTCATAGAAATCTCACATTAACAAGAATATGCAAAAAACCCACTAAAAATGCTGATACTAGATACACACACTTGTTTTCTTTCATTATTGACCCTTTATGAAGATAGTGCTGTGTTTTACTTTACTTGGAATATAAGATAAAATTATACATGTAATAGAAAAATCTATATCACTTTATAATTTCTATTGATAGAAATGAAACATGTATAAAAATTACATTTCAAAGACAGCAGTGAACAGAGATCAGGAGAATAAATGGCAGAAATGTTGGAAAGCTTTATGTGCACTATGTTTACACTTCAAGATATTTAATTTCCTATTTACAAGCATAAAACCATAGTCATAGTTCCAGAGTGAAATCTTTTGAAAAAAAATTGAGTGGGGTGAAAAATGTCAATTTTGCTGACAGTATGTACCCACTAGAAGAAGTGGTTTCTTTACTGATCATTTCTTGCTTGCATTTGTTAAGGTACAGTATCAGTCTTGGGTTATTGTTTCACTGTGTATTTCTTTTCCTTCCCCTCTCTGACAGGACTTTGAAATGATACCAGGTAATTTATCTTTTGACTGGTTTCATTCCAGTTGCCTACTTTGGGATTATTTGGGCTTTCAGCACACTGAGGGGATGTTGCCATTTTCTAAAAAGCATTTGAATTGATATTTTAGTAAATGATTTTTACTAAATCTCGTTCTTGGCTATTTGACCAGTCTCTCATGTAAGTGACATAAATAGTTGCATTACTGCAAAACTGTAATTTGAGTTAAATGTGTTCTCAGGTCTCTCAACACAACAAACTTCATTACAAGGCTTTCTGCTTTGTGTCTGAGGAAAACCAAGATGCAACACAGGCACCAAAGTAACAGACGACCAACGGTTCCACTCGGATCACGGATTTTAACTGATCCTTCTAAGGTCTTTGAGCATAACATGTGGTGAGATGTTTCTTCAAGGATCATTTTCATATAATTTTGTATACTGTTTACTCTGGTATAATGGGGTGGGTGTATGAAACATGGTGCTGCCAGAATAGGCACATGAAGGAAGCACTAGAGGAAATCTGAGATTGTCACAAGTAATCTTTCAGTGACTTGGGTTAAAAGCTGCCCAGTTGATAGTTAGTCAAGGAGTGAAATGCAAATATTATTAGGGATCAGTAATCAATTAGGAGACAGAGGATCTAGGGATAAGATAGTCCATGTTACTTAAAATGGCAGAAAGTTTCTAGGTACAATACATTGCATACTGGATTAGCTCCCTAATGCTTACCACTTTCAGGCTAAATGTGGAGTTGGCTATACTTCCTTGGTCAAGGAAGCTGGAAGCTGTCTGATTATTGTGTTAAGAGTGTAAAGTTTGTCTCTGTGTTTCATAAATCTACATGCAGTGTAGTTCTTAAGCATCTTCCAGGCTTAATGCTTCCTGCTAGGTGGATGAATCCTTTACATAAAATGTAAAATCAGGTGTAAATGCTGATTGAAATGTAGGCTATATAATCAAGGGAGGAAAAGATTTTAAGAAAAGGACCACCCTTTTTCTGTAACATTGTTTTTTGATGAAACTCTGTCTGTTTGTTTGTTTTATAATTTCCTTCCAAAAAATTGGTCATGTGTAGCTTCAGTTTTACCTGCTACTATTTGGTGGCAGTCTAACATAGAGTTACCAAACTTTGATGCAGGTGGTTGGAATGGATTGTGAAGATGGAAGTGAAGAAACAGGGTTGTTCAGAAAGTGGATCTGCACATGAATCTATGTAGCTCAGATGGGAAAACAGGTGAAATTGAATTGAAGCAGAGGTGCATTGAAGTTGTGAAGGTCTTGATAAGTCAAGAACCTGGCTGTGCTGGGGGTTAGGTCATTGTTTCTGAAGCTCATTGCATTGGCAGGGTTCTCACTAGGGAGATAAGGAGAATTAGGATGTGGTGGTAGTGCTAAATAGATTATACAGGGTAAGCATAAGATATTTGTCTTCTCTAACATTGATGTATGATGTCCTTTTGTTTTCCACTCATCATCTTTGTTAGTTCATAAAGTGGCATTCTTTTTGTGTGAATTGGCAGAGAGACAAGAGCTGCTACCATTGCTGCTAGAAATACTAAGTAAATTAAATTTGGGAACTAATGTTTTAGATGTCTATTGTGGTGCTTTTCTGTCATTTTGAGAGGGAAGTAATGAATGATGCTAAACATTGGAGCAAAAAATGCCTGCTTCTGTTCAGGTCAGTAATTGAACCAGTTTTTACATTATCACAGAGATAATTAAACCCTAAGTTAGCAAACAAGGTAGCAGAAAAAGACTAAGTTGAATAGGCTGAACTGAAAGCAGCATTGTTTGATCTCATATCAGGCCTACTCATGTTAACAGTTCCTGGTGTGGTTAAAATGGATAGCTTGCTTTGCTGCCTCAGTGTTCAGCTTAAAACACTTCTGTATTTAAACACTTCTGTGCCTAGAATTCTTATGTGTCCCATGTTCCTACCAGCTTGTGTTGCTGAAGGAGCTGCCTCATGTGAAGCATCTATATATGTAAATAATTGCTGTAAGAGCTATGCAGTGACCCCTCTTTTGTAGATTTTGATCAAGAAGTGCTGCAGCAGTACTATTTGAGATCTACCATATGGAAATTTCAACAAAAGCACCAAAAGGAGCTTTATGAATTTCCAAGGAGGGGAAAAAAAAAGAAAAAAAAAAGGCAGTTAATGAAGATGGAGGGCTTCAGACACCTTTAGTATTGTGTGTAGAGCCCCTGAGGGCTCTGACAGACACACAGTGATGGATTAAAATTGATCAGCTAAAGATTACAGAGCAGCAAGTCATCTGTCAGAAGGGCTGACTGTGTATTATTGCCATCTGAATAGTCCTTGGTTTCAGCTTGCTGGAATAGGCAAGGTCAGCACCAGTGGTAGCAGTGAGGGAAGCAAGTCTTTCCAAGAGGACGTCTGCCTGGCAGTGCTTCGGTCACTCAGTTTTATTCGACTGCAGCGTGTCTGTCAGAGCCATGACACTGCACAGGAACATTTGGTATATGAACAAATACAGGAAGGGGAGAGGCAACCTGCTGGGGACAATAATGAGAAATATTTCAGTAGAGAGGCGGAAATCAAGTCTGAGGCAAGCAGACAAATACATACCAATTAGTCTCCCACAATTAACAAAAGAGGAACAGTGAAGGTCTAAGAATTAAATTACCTATATGTCACCAACTACGGAAAAGGAAGATGGTCATTAGCTTTTAGAGACAATCAACTCTTTTCAAGTTGGCACCTTCTTCCTTTTCCCATAGTAACCAATGGAGTTTTAGTCTTGGGCTTTCACTTAGCTCATTTCAGTAGGATTAGGATCTAATAGATTACTTGAATTATATTATCTAATTTAATCTGTTCGGACTGGACAATTTGGAGGGACAGCTGATTGGCTTTTGAAACCGTCCTGCAGCACATTTTTGAGTACTCCCCGATGGGGTCTGATCCAAACCAGAATCTGCAGGGAAGGCAGTTTAGTCATCAGGGTCAGTTCTGGGCTTGGTTCTGTGACCATGGATTAACATAACACTTAGGTAACCACTGTACACAAGTATAGATGGCATAGACTTTGGAAACATTGCAGCACTGCTTGACTTGTCTCATTCTGGTTTTTTTTGTTTTTTTTTTTTAATATTACCTATCTCTGTTCCTCAGAAAAGTAAAATCCTGTTTATCAATTCCACCTGTTCCAGTTGAATAGGTGGATTATGCTCCCTGTTTCAGAACAGCTGATTTCTTTGCTAGTCCTTAGTTCCTCATCATAAACACTATTAATGTGAGGTGTTTCTTGCATTAGGGTGTGTGTTGGTAGGTCTCTTATTGTATTCAGCTAAATACAGTTCTAATGGACACTCAAAATACACTCCTGTAAACACACTCAATTTGTAAGATGCATATAATCCTGATATTAATAAAAGAAATACATGCTACTTCAGTCTTTTGGCAGTTGGAACATGTTTCTTAATCACTTGACTTTTACCTAATTAGTAATTAATTTTTATCTATCATACACTGAAACTTAGATTTTAACTGTCAGTCTCCTTGTGGTCATTTGCTTGCACTCAAAAATAAAAAAAAGGTATTTGAGACAGTGTAGCTAATTCATGACTGTTTTTCCTGGGAAAAAATATGATGAAAAACCCTATTGAAAAGCTGTTGCTTCAATTGCCTTCTGCAGGGACCACATGCAGTGGTCACAAGAAGAAGAAGAGAATGCCAAGAAAAAAGCAACAGAGAATTCTCTTGTGAAAGTTCAATCAGAAGACCGAGGTAACGAATTTCAAATGGTATAAAAATTTTTTAATGCTCTTTATTAAGATAATTGAAGATTTATAGAGTTCAGGAACATTTTTTTTATTTCTGCATTCTCTTATCTAAATTTTTTAATTTGTTTTTTTTTTTCCCTTTGTTGCCTCAAAAGAACTCACAGTGTGTTTTTCCTAACAGTACAGTCTCTTATTTGAACAGTTTTACAATTGGGGTGGCAGTAGACTCTGTGTAAAACACATGCATCAGTATGGTGCAGTTGTTCTGACCCGTTTTGCAGTCCTCCAGAATACAACTTCTACTACACAAGGCTTTTACAGAATCAAAGGGAATGAATTTGCAATCAGCTAGAGTGCTGGAGATGAAGATTCCCATATACAATATTCAAATGCTTTTCAGTGATTTGGGAACTATTTAGAGAGCTTGTGTTTGTTCATTGCACTGTATTTCTGTTAAATGCCATACAAGTTGCAGTGGTCCCAGCTGGTCCCAGCTTGCTGCCTTTGCCTGGGAGTGCCTCAGGAATCCATGTGTCCGCTTTGTGTGGAAGGTGTTCCAATACATCCTCCATGGTCTGCTCTCTAAGGGATTGAGGAGTTTTGGGCCTGTCTTCAGAAGGAAATTTATTGTATTCTGGGTTTCTGAAGAGTGATAGCTCTAGTTTCAAACTGGCAAACTAAACCATAGACTAAACTCCAGGGTGGTTATGAATGCTAAAGCTGGAATATCAACTTGATAGTAGCACAGACTGGATTCTTCATTTATTCTTCTGTTCGGAGGATATTCTGAAAGTAGTCACTTGGATATCTGTGCCTCAGTTTACTTAGCATGTCATGAATCTGCCAGATAGTGTTGTTATGAGCCTATGCCTTGGTGTAACCAAGGCACATGTTGGAGTTTGTTTGAATTACCTGAGAATGTGCCTTGCATTGTGTGCCCTTCATCACCTTGAATACTCTGAAATTGTCAGCCTGCCTTTCTCTGTTACCTCTCACATTTTTTATCTACACACAGGAGTACAATGCTTGTTTTTCAAAAATTACATCTAATATATTAACTTGATTTGTACAAAGAGCTGAAAAAGAGCTTGTAATTGAAAAGTAAGCTGTGTGGCTGTGTGCTCATGGAATCTTGCATTCTTTATCTACAATCAATTAGAAGTTAGTTTGTACTGGTAAGAAATGGAATAATCAGGCATTTGGCTATTGCCATGAAACACAAGAATCCAAGGACATTTCTTATGAATGCCCCTCTGGTTAGAGTTTGAATAGGTGAGCATTGCTGATAGTGTTCCTTCAGAAAGCTTCAGCTTCATTCTGCAAATGGAAGTACATTTTGGCCTATTTGTGTAAACAATGAACTAGACCAAGGCTAATGAGCAGGTTATTTTGGGGCCTTGAAAACTACAGTGAGGGGAAGAAAGACAGATTTCACCAATGCTATTATATTACTGAAGTAGAAGAGCTCTGATGAGCCTTTTTAAAGCAAGAGCAGTGGAACTGAATGAAGTCATGGTACTACATTTAGGAATTTGATTTCCATATTAGCATGTGCAGTTTCTTCTCAGGCATGCTTGCTAGCAGTTGAGGATTGTGTTATGGAGAAAAATTGATTGACAAAGTAAAGGTTTTTTTGGTTTTTTGATGGGGGGTTTGGTTGTTGTGGTTGGTTGGTGGGTCTTTTTGTTTGGTTGGGTTTTTTTTTCTTGGGAGTTTATATTTTTAAGTTATGCAATTTTTACATGCTTTGGAATATTTTGTGGGTAGGCTAATTAAATGCACAAAATTAAATAAAAATTTGATAATACTGCATGCATTACACAGAGATGCAGGAATGCCCAGTGCAACACTGCAAAGTAAAGTGTTCCTTCCCTTAAACCCATGTCATTCCATACTAATACAGTTTGAAAGGCTGACTTTAGCTATTTCTTTCCTTCAGTTCTGAAATCTGGAAAACTTGATGTGAATTGAAGTTCAAGAGTTCTGAGCAGACTTGTAAGAAAATTGTGACTATATCAAGGGGTGATAATAATTAAAGAGTCTTTTGACTAGAAGGGTTTTGCTTTTCATACTGAAGCTGAGCAATCTATAAATGCAACTTAAACTATTGAAATCTGATATATATATATGACCTCAGTCAACTCTGAACTCTTAATATAAAACAGGCCTGTACAATTACAGGGCTGGGTCCTGCCCTTTAATAATACAATTGGATGTATTAAATGTTAATTTTAAAACATTATGCAGATTTCTAGGACAAGGCATTCTGCCACCTCCTTACCACTTCCCACTGCCTGTCTGTGCCTCTAATGATAATTCTCAGCCTTGTTTATCTCTGAAAAGCTGTAGCAATTTAGGAAATAATATGCTAAGATTTAAAGAGAGTAGTAGAAGTGCACTGTACATTTATATTAAAAGAATTAATGTGTTGGTATGAGTGAGAACAAAACAGGAAAGGCAGCACATTATATGAGGTACACTTTTGTAGAAAGAGATGTCAGGGGTAGCAAGATAGTTCTGCAAATGCTTTGGAAATAAGGGGGAAAAACAAGAAAAAACATTTTGTTTGGTACTTTAGGAGGGATAAGGAAGGGAAAACCATCAACAAAAGAGACATTGAAAAGCTGTAATTCTTATCTTTTTATCAGCCTTCCTTTGAAAGGGTTAGCTAGCTCCAGTCCAGTGGCTAGCACAATTAGTGCTAGTGAGAAGGAGGAAAGATTTTGTTCTTGAAGTGAGAAAGAGCAGGTTACAAAGTACATCCATAGAGTACATGGATGAGTGGAAAAGCAGAAAAGAGAATATTTGTTTTTTAAAAAAGGAGGTGGGAAAAAAAGGAGAGTCAGATAATTGGTTTTAGTTTCTGGAAAAATACTGGAAGAGTACATCCAGAGCTTGCAGACTTTGGGTTCAGAAGAACAAAGGAGATGAATAGTGGCCAACAAATATTTTTTCAAGGATAAATCACATAAAATCAAGCTAATTTTCTTCTTGGAGAAGGTTACAAGCCCTGGGGATAAGGGAAAAGCAGCAGATGTCCTGAAGTTTATCCTTAGTCAGGCTTCTGATTTGCTTTACTTGACATTTTCATAAGCAAGTTAGGCAAGTGAGAGCTAATGAAACTGCTTTTGGGTGAATGAATGCCTGGGGAGAGCCTTTCAGAATGGAAGGCTGTGCTGGGCAGAGGAATGTTTTATTCTGTGTCCAGTTCTGCTTGGTATTTTCATTAGTGACCTCGGGAAATTAGAGACTTGAAGATGGTGTTACGTGAAAATGTGTTTTAGGTATGGTGAAGGACAGGATTGAGATTCAGAAAGATTTGGACAAACATTGGAAAAAATAATCTGAAATATATAAATTTGCTAAAAATGAGTGCAGATTTCTTTGCTTCAGAATAATTCCTTGAGGAAAAAAAACAAACTAGGTTTTGGAACAATTGGCTTGGTAGTCATTTTGCAGAAGAAGATCTGAGAGTTGTGGTGAATCACTAGCTGAATCAGCAGTGTCATGCTGTTGCAAAATGGCAAGCTGGGAGTTATAAACAGGATTACAACCTGGAAGCCTCATAAAATACTCCTTTTTCTCTGCAATTATAATGCCTTTGCCAGAATAAAACACCCAAAGAAGTAAATCAATTGGAGAGAATCTAAAGAAAAATTGAAATTATCAGAAGTCTAAAAATCAAAAAGAAGACAGTTAGTTTTAGACAATCTAGAAAAGAGATTGTTTATGGAGGCATAGTAAAATACTTCAAATATGTAAATAGGTGTTGCAAAGAGAAAAGAGAGTAATCTTTGCTTTGTCTGCTTGGTCCCTATCTGGGACGAGAATTCCTTGACCCAATTGCAAGATGGAAGTTCTTAGGTAGACAGTGGAAAAGGTTTCTAACTGTGTAGAAAATTAAGGACTGTATTATATTACTGAAGAAAGTTGTGTGTGAAAGGTGGTATTTTAAGAATAAGTTGAACAGATGTTTGTGAAGAAGGGATGTGAATTCCCTGATTGTGTGAAATCCCTTCCAGTCCTACTTTCTGACATTCTGACACTTAGTTAGAATGTTTTGTGAATTAAAAGCGAACACAAAAGTCTGTTGTAAGACTCTGAAGTGTTTTGAAAATAAGAAAGCAAGTATGTTCCTTCTGTATTGTTGAATGCTTAGGTGTGAATTATTGTCTATTTGCTATGCAGTAGCATTTATCAGTCCAGTTCACAGAACTGGATTTGTTTTTTAAATAGGTGATGAGGTACCAACAAATTTGCAATTGATTACAGAATTTCATAAAGCATGAAAGAATTTCAATTCTTACATTTGAAAACTATTTCTTAAATAATTGAAAAGCTGGATTGTTTTTATAATTTGAGCATGAAAGCTTGTCTAAGAATCTTTAGATTGTGTATTTTGGTGGTGCTGTTCTATGATGTCACTACACTTTTAAAAATATGCTGTAAGCCTGTCAACCCCTTCCTAAGTGTCATAAAATCTAGTTAAACCCTCATAGGAGTTATTCTGAGCACAAGTTAAGGTGAGACACAAAATCCATGTGTTTTAATTTAAATTTACAATATGTGGAAGTATGGATTTTTAAACTGTATATTTGAGGTCCAAATTATATGTTGCTTTAGAGTGTTTTCCAGCTAAGTTCATATTCACCAAGGTTTTGTTCTGTTTTAATTTCAGATAAATATGAGAGAGAAGCCAGTAAATATTGGAATGAATTTTACAAGACACATAAAAATAACTTTTTCAAGGATCGCAATTGGCTGTTTCTGGAGTTTCCAGAAATTCTTCCAGAAAAAAGGAGAGAAGAGTTCAAAACAGAAAAAATGTCTTTGGAACACACAAAAATAAATAATGACAACAGTTTTTCACTCAAAAATGGAATGTTTGAAGAAGGAGAAAAATACTGGGAGAAAAATTATGGATCTGGTTCTACTGCTGTACAAGGATATGTATATAATAAAAATCAAGTGAAAGCTCTTACTGCCAACCCTCAAGGTAAAAAGTGTGGAGAAGAACTTGGCAAGGTCGAATCCTTCCCTGGTTGTGATGCCACTTACCGAATATTAGAGGTAATGCACTGCAAATGTTCTGCACATCTACAGAACTCCACAGAATTACTCAAAAATCTCATGAAGACCCTTACTAAGTATCAGGAGAGCAAGCCTTTGGAATTTTACATACTACATTCATTTATGGCAGGAACTTTCAGAGAAACCTAAATCTGGACTTGGTTTTCCCGTTACAGTTTTTCCATAATTAGAATAGGGCTAGATTGTCAGATTCCATTTTCATTGAAAGTCAGGATTTTTACTTCCTCAGGACAGGTGTGAGTTTAAGTGCTTTGTCTCAAAATGCAAGTACTTGCTGCATTCTTGCCAAATGGTGAAATTGGACAAGAGTATTGCATTTTCTTATGCAGTTTGAGAGACTGATTCTCTTTTAACTTCAGAAAGTCATTGGGGAGAAACATGATCATGTACATGATTTGAGAACTGTGGTATTAGCTGATTATACCTTTTCTGGCCAACATACCTTCAAGTCTAATGGGTCCTACTGGCCAACTAATTTAAGACAAAGATAGCAAAAAAAGGTTTTGTTTGCTCATTTATTTTGATTTTATCTTTCTCTTCTGATTTTAGGTTGGCTGTGGAGCTGGAAACAGTGTCTTTCCGATTCTGAAAGTTCTATGGTAAATTGTGTTGGATTTCCAAATATGAATGTTGTATTCATATCTTCATTTTCAACAAATTTTGGTGCTGGATCTGTGCTGCAGGAAGCATTGAGTGAACCATTTTACAGTGCTAAGATTCTTAGTGTGTCAAACTACAAATAATATTGGTGCCATCAGTATAGGATACTCCTCATGTTGCTCTACCCTGGTCTTGGGGGATCATATTTGCTGACAAAGTTTGTCTCTGAGTGCATTCAGCTACTGAGTTCTTATAGTTAATCTCAGGCAGATTAAATATTCTCTTGTCTTATAGATCACTGTAAAGCTACCAGGTATCTCTTCAAAAGGCCAAAATTATAGAGACCATAGATAATAGCATGTGAGCTACTGGAAAGAAGTTCTATTTTTTCTGAATTGGCTGGTATATTTGTCACATTACTTGTGGTTTTAGTGTCAAGGCACAAGTCCTATATCACATTACTTAATTTATTGAAACGTCTTAATCCACTTAGCTTCCAGTTTTAGAAAAATCTGTTATGACAGCTTGTCCTCCCATCCATGTAGGCAGGAAGATTTTATTGGAAAGGATACGTATATTTCAAGGGTTGAAATAGATTTCTTTTTTTTCATGCCTTTAAGAGCTTGAGAGCAACACGATTCATTATTCTATCAATGAATTGTGATTGCTAGTATCACCATTATACAAAAATTCTCCATTTTGCAGATATGGAAATGCAACAGGAGGAATTAAGTGGTGCACCAGGGTCATACATGATACCTCTGTTATCAATGCATCTTCATCCCACAGCAAATGCTTTGCTTTAGACAGCATGTAGTGAAAGGAGAGCCTGGTTTCATATGAAAACTTTGAAAGGAACCCTATATAGAAAAAGATATCACGTGGCTGTGTTGAAAAAGATGAGACAAACTTTTGTGTTTTCCTCACAGGAGGCATTAGTCATAGATTGGCATTTCTGATAATTAAGAAACTACTCCTTAGATATTTTTCCTGGAGATCTCTATTCATGTGTAAATCCTTCAGTCAATCACATTGGTTGATAGATTGAACAACTTGCTTGTTTGTCTTGTATATGACCTAATGGAAAGATCTCTTAATCTCCAAGTAGGCTTGGCATTAGAGAACAGTTGGTTTTGCTCTGAATTTAATAATCTAAAAATTGCCATTCTGGCAATTACATGCATATAAAATAATGTATCTATATGCATATAATTATGTGCATATAAAAACAAGCCAGTGTCAAGCAAGTGTACCCTGGTTACAAAAGAAAATTTCACTAAAGTTAGTAATGTAACTCTTAAACCTCTTCCCCCTGCCTCCCTTAAAATTTAAGTTAGTGCTTTTTAATACAGTGTGTCATGAAAACACCATGCAGATCAAGCCATGTCTTTGTCTTAAGTGGACTTTTTACATAGTTAGTTACATAAAATAGTTCCTATTCTGCTCTAAAAAATAAAAGAAACCCCAACATTCTAACAAGTCTATTAGGTAATCAGCTCAACCTTTCCAAAGGGACTGACTGGGTCCAAAGCCTGGCTGCTTGTCCTCATTCATAATAAATACATAAATTCAGCAATTCTCATGGTGGTCACAGAGCTGATAAAGGTTTTGCTCAGCAAACCAAACAAGCATGGGGTATATTTTGTTCCAGAAGCATTCTCCTGTTGAGCCTTCAGAAGTCACTAGCTTAGCTGTGTATACTGTGAGATCTACAGGCACTGGCAGAGTTTATTGATTCCCTTCTAAAGAAGCCATCTATCCAAAATCTTAAATATATTTTTAATTAATTAAATTGATCGTGAGTTGATCATGAAGTCATCTCTTTGTGGGTTTTGAGTAGCTTTCTCAGTTTATCCTTCTGAGGTGAAAAACTTCTCCCTAGAATTACTAGTATCTAATGAATGGTACAAGGAAATTTGCAGCTGGCTGAGTCTTGGATGGGAGGAGAAGGGAATACAGTGCTGCAGGAAATTCTTATTCATCCTAGCTGGAAAGCAAAGGAGATAAGGGAGTACAATATTACAATACAATAACCAGTAATGCGTAATCAAATCAAAAGAGCAGCAAGGTGACACATGGAACCCCAAACTTCTGCAGAACTGAGTGACTTTTGCAACTCTCCATACCTGCCCAAATCATATTGCTAACTAAGCTGCATCCATGGGTTAATAATGCAGTGCTCCTGTAAGAAAATGTGACCTATTAATGTGCATTTATGCATTACAGCACCAGGACATTGTCATCAGTTCTGACAGCCCTCTGTGACCTTTTTTCTTTTCCTTTTTGCTTCCTCACAGACAAGGCTATAATTCTTTTTGTACTAGCTGTCTGTTGGTATTATGAATTTTTCTGCCCTATTGGTTCATTACAACCTATGTGGCTTTCCATGTGCTAGACATCAATAAAGCATGCTTGATCAAGCCTGTGGAGAAGCCCAGAGGACCCTCTGAAGTTTCATGAACACTGATGTAGACTTTCATCTTATACATTAATAATTTTCTAACTGATGTTGGTTTTGTTTTCCTAGCAATACACCTGGAACCTTTCTGTACTGTTGTGATTTTGCTTCAGGAGCAGTGGAGCTGGTAAAGGTAATTCATGCACTCTCTTTAGAGTACCTTACAAGCCTGTAATTCAGGAGGCTGCCAGGAAGCCATCTTCATGAAAAAGAATGTGATGGCTTTGACAACTTTTAACTGAAGTTTTCAATATTCCAAAGAACAAAGTCATACTGTATGCAGAGAGGAATGAATACCATCAGTGAGCTTGCTTCTCAGCTTGAGTAAGATACCGGACAGAATAGGCTTTTATATGAGATGTTTTACAATGCAGAATAATTGAAGAAAAAATGTTTCTTGAGTCACAGTAAACGTATTAACTACTACTGTTCTCTCTGTGCCTCTTTTCATCTTTTTCCTGACAGTCACATTCGTCCTACAATTCAGCCTGGTGTTCTGCCTTTGTTCATGATGTGTGTGATGATGCTTTACCCTATCCTTTTCCAGATGAGATCCTGGATGTCATTCTCCTTGTCTTTGTGCTCTCTACTATTCATCCTGACAGGTAAATGAAGACTAAAGGGCAAAGCAAATGGGTTAAATCTCTTTTTTAACGGAAGGTTTTCAATAATACCCAAAGAAGATGATGAATCTTTAATGTTATTTAATAAGCTACAGCATGTATAAGGTATTTTAAATGCTGTTTCCATTTTCAGGCTTCAATTGAAAAGCTGGTCATGCTAATTATAATTAGTGAGTCTCCAGTCTCCATCAAAATACAAGGGATATATTGTAACTAAGTACATCTCTGCTAGAAGGGACAGATTCAAAAAAAGGCAAATTACAAAACCAGGCTGACAATCTTCTAGAAGGTAGTTATTTTTAGTGATCAAAACCAAACATTCGTGATTTAACACCTTACAATGTGTTGATGTAGACTTAGATTGCTGATTTTGCCACATTCAAATGCTTACATGCAGCCCTTTTAAACTAAAATGGATCTATAATTTTGTAACTCGTTTGGATTGCAAACATTTGATCTAATTTTCATGTGTAGCATTGAGTACTGTTAGCCTTTGCTAATTCCTCTCGATGTCTAATGAACCAAATTTTATGACTGTTAAGGTTGGCTGATTGTGAACTTGACCTTTTTTAATACAAAAAATTTAAAAGAGGGCATGTAAGTTAAACTTCTTGACTCTAACTAGGTTATATGAAGGGAAATACATGCTGTTTGTGTGATAATACATTTATTACTTCAAGAATGTCATTAAAAATGGGCTTGGTGTACAGAACAGTATTTGCCTAGGTCTGAGAACTGTTTCTCTGCTACTAGTGATTAGCTTTATACAGGAAAACCTTCCCTGTATAGAATATTTCTACTTTCTGTTTATTCAGACATGAACACGAGTCACACAAAGCCAGGGTCCAGGTTTCAAAAACAGTTCAATCAGGAGACTTTAGATCTGTAATTCCAGCCATGCTGCCAGGAAGAAATTGGACAACAGTGATTCATTCAGTCACTGTGCCTGTAGAAGCAGTACTCAGATGTTCTGTCAAAATTTCTGTGGATCTTTTCCTATTAGTCTCTTAAGAATGCATTTGAGGTTTTTGTGGTTGATTTTCTGTTTTGTTTGGTTTTTGGTTTTGTTTTTGCTTGTTTGTTTTGTTTTGTTTTGTTTTTTGAGGGAGGTGGGTTGTCATTTTTGGTTTGGGTTTTTTTTCCCCAGGGCTGACATGGATGCTTTTCTGTACATGTGTGTGTATACACACACAAAGATTTTCATGTAATTGTCTGTGTTTTGAGACCCACTTTCCAACGATGCCTTAGTCATTACTTCCATCTCATAGAATTAAAATGACCACCTAAAGGAAAATGTGATCCAGATTCATCTTGCTCAATATACATTTTTTTTCTGGAAACTTTGAAAGTGGGAAATGAAAAAGAAAACCAAGGAGATCATGGTGCAGAAGTTATGTACTTTGAAAAGATGAAAAATACATGTAAGAGGGACACATTTATATTCAGAAAATTGTTACTTAGTAATTTATCTCTAGGCTGTTGTGTTTAGTTTTTGATAATTGCTACTCTTGTAGTCAATTTTTAACACACTTCAATTATGCTAGAACGCACCTCTAAAATTTGGTTGCAGAATTGGAAGCATTAAACTTTCTTCAAGCTGTGTAATTAATGTCTTTTAGATTTGCTGGATGAAATTTCTCAAAGCACTTTCACTTTTTGTGCACATACACTTCTTCCTGAGTGTGCAAAACTTCTGCTTCTATAGGCAAGGCTGTAATTCTGTGCACAGCTACTGTGCTGAACAGTCTCTTACTCATAGGCGGTGCTGCCTTTTTGGTCTGTGGCAGCAAACTTGGTTGCTTATGTTTGCAAACTTCACCAGCATCTCATCTATTCTCTAAGGATGCAAGGGGTTGTAAATAGGTTGGCTAAGCTACTGAAGCCTGGAGGAATGTTGTTATTTCGGGACTACGGAAGATACGATACAGCTCAACTTCGTTTTAAAGAAGGTAATTCCTGAATGGTTTGGTATTTTACTGTTCATTTTAGCTCTTTCTGGGGAAAAAAAAAAGTGACATGTCCTTTTTCATTACTGCTCTAATTTCTTAGGTCATTGCTTGTCAGAAAATTTTTATGTAAGAGGAGATGGAACCAGAGTGTATTTCTTTACCAAAGGTACGGAATGTTATAGTTTCATAGAATGGGTTATGTGTTTCTCAAGGTGATTTGGATTATGAAAGCTCATCTTAAAACATAAATTTAAAGAAGGTTTTATTGGCTTTTTAAAAAATTCTCTGCTTTTAAAAAGACCAAAGCTACCTGTTGTAAGAAAATAGTTTCCTTTGTATGCATGCATGTTGCATTTGGGATCCTGCAATGTTGCTTACAGACGTCACTGGAAATTTCTCTTTAAGTATCCTGTGTGTAATTGTATGCTCAAATTTTATTATTTGACCATGCACATGATTTCTCTATTAAAATTGAGGTAAACATGCTTGGAAGGAGAGTCTGTAGCTATATATGACATAAAAGTCTGGATAGTCATTTGTCAGGGGAAGTAGCTTTATCTTGATAATATGTGAACAGTGACCAAATGGCATGCATTTGTTTACTCAACTATGGCACCTGGAACCTTGTGAAGAAAGGGTATCTATGGATGCTGTGAGTAATAACTAATGTGGTTTGGGCCTCAACATGACAATTGTTACTGCAATATAAATCAAGAGCTGTGAAAATGAATTTCTAACAAATCCTTGTTACAGGTAGTGTCCTTTAGCTTTCAAATTGCAAAATAGATTTAATTCCATCTTTGGTTGAACTACAGGTTGGTAATTACTACATTCTACAAATGACTTTCTTTTTTAATTGCAATAATTTTTCATATGAAAAAATAGATGAGGTATGGAACATGTTCACCTTGGCTGGATTAACTGAAGTACAGAATTTAGTTGATCGGCGATTACAAGTAAACAGAAAGAAAAAAGTGAAAATGCAGCGAGTTTGGATACAAAGCAAGTTCCAGAAGCCATTGCAATCTCTGCATAATCCTGAAGAAAGCATCAAAAGGCACCCTTGTAAATAATTTTACTCCAGAAATGCAGTACAAAATTGAACTTCAGAAACTGAAGGAAATTTGAGTACCTGTGTTTTCATTTAAGTATGCATAAATGTTGTGTTAGCCACTGAAAAGTATTAAAAAGTTCAATAAATGTATTGAAGTAAAAACCTTTCTCTGACTTTCTTTTCTTTGTAAATTCATATGTGTAAGAAAAATCTGAGGGGAGATAATGGCCATTTCTGACTTCTGCTTTATATGCAATAATCTTTTCATAACTGTGACCAGGCATTATTTGAATTACTTGAATATGAATAGTCAATAAGTATACACCTCATTCTGTTGAAATTCATGGTATGTAAAAAGGTTAGTCTGAAGCATAATTGTTTCAGAGATTTAGAGAAACAGAGTATCTGTTCTCACTATTACCACAGACTGTTAATTTCTGAGTCATATCCTTTTCAACCACCGTGTCTTACGACTGTATTTCCTCTTTGGAGGGAAATTTCTTGGTGCATAAATAATGAAGACAAAAATTTTTTTCTGATTTGCATGTAGCTATGATTTCACACTAACTGCATGTGATATGTATACATATCAGATTACTCAGTGATTTTTTGTCCTCCTGACTGATTTATTATGCTGTCTCTGCTTTTCGTCTACATGCTCATAAGGAACAGGCCAATTTCAAATACAATACATTACACTTTTAAAGTGCTCTAGATTGTAAACTGAATATGTTTCATGTAGAAAACCATTACCAAAATGCCAAAACAGTTCTGACACCAAATAGTTAATATTGGATAGTTGTCTGGATAAATACAAATATTATTTTTACGATAGGTTAGATACGCTAGAGGGAGGAGCAAAAACAGTAGTCCTAAGTACATTTTATTAATAGTGTTATGGATTAATGTAATCACACTAGAATTGCAATCTATCTGGCAGCTGAGATATTTTTGTTGTTTACAAAAAGAAATTGCTTTCTTAGGGATTCTACATTAGAAAGAAAAAACACAGTGTTTTTTATTGGCTGGGTGGGGATATAGCAAAGGACAGGACTAGTCCTTTCCTTCAATACTTTAAATTCTTTTAAGAAGAAAAGTGAGGTGCAAGCTCTGTTTTCAAATGTAGAACATAATCCCGAAGGCTGTTGAGCTTGTATTTAAAGATTCCATTTTGCCACTCTGCTATTTTAATGTAATTTTAAATCACTTTGCCACAAGGAGGAGAGAACAAGAAAAAGGTGAATGAATAAAATAAATCTCTTTATTTAAACAAGGGTGTGGGATGCATGTAATCTATAACATGTAGTTTTGACTGTCATTAATACAGTGACACTCAAAGTCTCTTTTGTTGTTTTGTTTTAGGCTGAAGCGTAAACATGTCACAACTGATAGCCCAGCCTGTTGATCTTTTTGCAAGTTGTTAGTTGCTACGACAAGGAGGACTGATGGTCTCCTAGGAAGAAAACCCTAAATTGTCTAAACAGGGATGCCAAATATCTTCATCCCCTTTAACCCAGATGTATTTCAAGAATGAGGTACAATAAGGGGTCTGATCCTGCATTTTTGATATATTTGAAACTCCCATTAGAGGAAAATACTGTTTTATGAATCAAGAGGCTTAGGAAGCTTTGGTTAGCAATAGCATTGCTGTAACCTGCAATAAAACTCTCGTGGCATAAATCAAAGGTTAAAACACAGCTGTGTTTCTTAAAGCCCTAAGAGATTGTAGCATCCCCATGGAAAATGTAAATAAATGTCTCCTTATATTTTAAATATGTTGCTACTCTGTTTTATTAATTGTGACTTCTGAATATACATATCTCTTAGCTAGCACAAATAATTTTCGCTTGTAGAATTTTCCAGGGAAGTGATGATGATAAGTTCTTGAGCATCGTGCAGTCTTATTCATGTGTGTGACGTAAATTTTCCATTTGTAGAGGTGAATGTAATGTTTGCTTTGGCACTCACGAGGGTATATTGATTCAGGCAAGATTTTAATGTGCTGTTAGTTAAACAGAAGTGTGACTTCACAAAAAACAAACCCTGAATTTTGAATGGCCTTAAGTAAAATCAGCTGTTTCTCTTCTACAATTTACACTTCAAGTATTGGCTGCCTCTTTTAGAATAATAGTGCCTGATTTGGAAGTAATAAGATCAGCTACTGTTTTAAGTGTAGAATATCCACTGTCTGAACAGTTGTAAGATTCAAGAAGAGGATATGGAAAAAGGCATAATTCCCAATGAGAACTTTTGAATCTGAGTCGCACTTCCTGTATTTTGGCTTTATGACATTTCAGTTTTCAGAAAGCTCAATCAAAGACATATTTTTAAAATGCTTCCAAATTATCTGTATTAAGCAAGGAGGACTACTGAAATACAAGAAGAAAAAGAGATGCAGGCATCTATATAGGAAAGGCAGTTTAAAACGGCTAATTGTTAATTTCTGGAGGAAAGACAAACTAGTTTATTAATATAAGAAACTGCACTTAAGTTTCACTTTTGACGTATGAAGTTGATTTTTTAATCAAATGTGTACCTAAAATTAATTAATACATATTCTATAAATATAAAACATTTTCATTTGTAATTGCAAATTTTCTTTAATTTTTTGTGGAGTTCTTTTTGGTTGTTTCAAGCATGGCTTCCTAATGGCAATTAGAGAAAGGTGGTCTTGCTAGATCTGAGCTTCAGCTTCATTGGCTTTGGCTTGCTTTATGAATACTATGTCTTTTGTGTCCAGATGTGCATGGTACTTACTGGCTTAGACCTTGCTTAGTTTTTAAGCAAGTGTGAGGCAGTTAAAAAGTAAAGAAAGTGACCAACTTTTTTTCTTACACTAATTTTGAAGTATCTAGTCAATAACAATTTGCTCATATAAAAAAATATGTTGCCTTTTTCTTAGCAAAATGAAGGCAGATGCTTGTGCTATATTCACAAATGCACTGAATCTGCAGAGGACAGCCAAATGCAGCCATGATAAGTAGAACTCTATGAACACCAGGGAAAAACTTATTGTCTTGAAAACTGCACAGCTAATCTCCTGATTCTGCTGGTTAATAATGGCTAAAAGGTTATAGCAAACAACCCCAGAATTTGTATTAAACAATGTTGGAAATCACTTTACATAAATTCTGCTACTTTGTTTTCATTTGTGGTGTGAACTTTACTCACTGTTCCAGTTTGCTCTTTGATCTGTTGACATATGGTTTGCTTCCTCTTTTTCCTATGTTTAGTGGACAACTGAGCAGTTTCCCAAGGAGCTATATACACAAACATTTGCAGTAAAGTTGGTTGTCTGAGTTATTGTTGGAATTGAAAAAAGGGGGATTTATTTCCTTCTGTACAGATTGCTTTATCTTTTAGTGTGAATGCAATGAATTGTATAGATGCTAAATTATATATAGTGGTAGTGGCTGTATTTTTTAACAATTTTAAGTCAAGTTTCAGAGAATCATAGAATAGTTTGGATTGAAAGGAACCTTAAAGATCATCTAGTTTCAACCCCTCTCCTGCAGGCAGGGACACCTTCCACTAGACCAGGTTGCTCAAAGTCCCACCCAACCTGTCCTTGAATATGGGTATATTGTCTGTGATAGTAGTTCATATATAAACCACTTCTTCTCCATAGAGCATCTTCATAATGGGTGGAAATAAAACATGTATACATGTTGCAAAAATATTAAACACTGCTATTGTTAGTAATACAGTTCACTTTGCATTTCAGTGAACTGCATTTCAGTTTATGTAAACTTCTCTCCACATTTGGAACAAGGATGGGCGTGAGGAGTTTTTTACATCAGTTATGTGCCAGTTCCCCGTCTCTTAAGAATCATCCAGGATTTGGACAAGGTAAGTTTCCTATATGCGGTTGCACTTTGTGTGTAGTCAGTAAGAACAACATGGGTTGCCATGGGTGTCTTAGCAGGTTCTCCTTTTTACCTGTGCCTCCTGGCATGCAGGTCATGCCTGGATTGGGCTTTGAGGTGAGAAGGAAACTTCTCTGTTGAGAGACCATCCTTCACCTCTTTCTAGTACCTCTCTCTAAAAGGAGAACTTGCCTGGTTTGAAAGCAAGAGCCATTCATGCAAGAGGGGAGAAAGATGAAGATGCAGGCAAGAGAGGGAGTGAGTTTCCTCTGGGAGCTAGGGTGAGAAGCAATCTTGGATAGACTGACCAAGAAAAATGAGATACAGAACAGGGAACAGAGGAACAGGACACTGTGGACATGGTTTACGGAGAAGATTTGTAACAGGATACAGTGTGACAGGATGAGGACCTTGAGCCTAGACATGAATGAAATGAAATTAATTAATCAAATTATTTAAATTAAAAAATAGAGGAGGCAAGAAGAGAAAGGGGACTATTTGTCACAAAAATAGGGTGAAATCTGGGTAAGCAAGGCAATCAGTCCAGGACTGGAGGTAGAAAGACATATCTTCAAAGTTTTTATTCTCCCAAATGGTAATGTATTTTCACATCTTAGTGGAATATTACAGGTTTTCTCTTTCATCCATATGTGCAAAATGCATTTCAATACATTAAAAAGATTGAATGTTTCATTTGTTGTAGGTTGTATGTGCTATGCACATGTTTTCAACAGTGCAAGCAAGTGTATGATACACCTGCTTTTGCTTTCTCCTCGGGGAAAAATGTTTTTACCATCGTTCAAGTAGCATCCTATAGTGACAGAAGCTACATTCCTAACCTCCTGGGAAGCAAATACCAGAGAATAACTGAAGTGTCTATACCCTGATTGTGTGCAATCAAGGTAGAACAATTAAATTTACTCCATGTGTTCTGATGATGTCCCATTTAAATCAAGACAATATCTGCAGATTATCACTGTGAAGAGCCTCCCAATATCAGTTTCTGTAATACTTGCATCTGTTCAACGGAATTTACAGTGAGTTTGTATAAACTAGAAATAAAACTTTAAAAAAACAGCAGAATAGGCTTCATCTGGGATCAGAGCAATTTAGAGATGGAATATGTTTTGTTATTTTAAAACACTTGTGGTTGCAGAGGAGCACTTATCCAAGAGGCTGAAAATTTCGCTTATTTGAGGTGTAATGTATGTCAAGAATATTAAAGCTAATATCTATGTTTTGAAGCTTTGTATACTTAATGTTAGCTAAAGCTATCTTGTCAATTGTTGCTGTGAA